CAAACCTAGGGGTGGGTGAGGTCATTTGTAGAGGAGATTCAACAGGCAAGAAAACATGCCTAACCCTTTTCTGTCCCACATATTTTTTACAAGTCACCCCCCCCCCCGGCGGACTCTGAAGCTGGAAGTAAGCCTGACTGGATAGAGAGAAATGGCCAGAGGAGTTGGCCATGGCTCAGTGGCAGAGAATCTGCTTGTTGTGCAGAAGGTCCTAAATTCAATCCCCAACATCTCCAGTTCAAAGGACCAGGCAGTTGGTGACGTGAGAGACCTCTACCTGAGACCCTGAAGAGACGCTTGAGTAGACAATACTGACTTTGATAGACCAAGGTTCTGATTCCGTATAAGGCAGCTTCTTGTGGCATTTGAAGAAAAAAGTGGGCAGCCACTGAAGGGGTTAAGTATCCCCCCTGTATCCCCCCTATTTCCCCCCCCCCTCCAAGACTATGAGGCTGTGTGGGTTTGTTAATCCAGGGGCTTATAGCAAGATCTTGGATATTGTTAGTTTTCCATTTTTTCCTGCCCAGAGAAAACATTTTGTAAAAAAAGAATTCTCCAGTACCTTCTGGCTCAAAAGCCTCAGAATCGATCTGCTTAATCTAATGAGAATGACATATCACATTTCCTTCAGCAAATACATACATTGACTTTTGTGTATTTCGGATGACAATGACCAAAGAAACAGACAATTGACTAAACTGGAAAAAAAAAATGTAACAGCTTTATTAAACACGATCAAAATCTAGTCTGAAAACCAGTCTTTTAAATATGGTACATTCATGTTCTAAAACAATATTTAATGTAACATTTTACTCTTTCATGTTAACAATACAGTTCCACTGTGTGGCTTTTATTTAAAAAAACAAACAACTGGCTAAGTTAGGAAAAATTACTTCCAAATGATATCACAACCTATACAGACAAACCTAAGAAACAATCTTTAAAAATCCACAGAAGAATGAAGGGAGGATCTATTCTTGAAATGTAACAGGCGTGTGGTTTATAAATATACCTCCTCATTCCTTTTAGCTTGTAGACAGACAGTGTATACTCTATTCCTTTTCTAGATTTGAGGATGGGTGGAAAACAAATGACCACTTCAGCACAGGGTGCTGCGACCGTATGCAGAGTCAGGCCCCTGGTCCAGTTGGTTCAGCGTTGTCTGCTCTGACTGGTAGTGGCTTTCTGGGATCTTGGGGAGAGGGACCTTCCCTTACATTTGCTTCCTGGGATCTTGTAGCTGGAGATGCTAAAGACAGGATCTGGGATCTTCTGTATACGGGGCATGTGAGCTGGCACTTGGCTGTGACCCCCTTCCATGTGCCATGAGCATATTGTTTAAAAATCATCCCTCATGGCCATTCCAGCCCCTTCAAGGAGGGTGCTATCAACAGTAAGCTCTGTCCCCACAGTGCATTGGGCATTACCTTGTCTCCGCTCAGTTCAGCTCTACGCACACAGTGCATTTCATGGCAGTAGAAAGGACCAAAGACTTCAGTGGTAGGTCACATAGCAAGATTCAAAGGCCTACTTTTTGGGATGCGAGTTTGCCAAAGAGAATAAGGTTTTCAAAGCATGTGCAGTGCTTACTTGAGATACACTTTACAGTAAACAGAAATATAGATGCTTCTGAAGAATAACCACACACAGGCCCCGGTCACATGGCAAAGTTGCCACGGGAGAGGCACGGATGGTGGGTGGATTATCTGGGCGCGATCACACCCCAATATCTGGGAAGTGGAGCGCACCCGTGGCTTACCGCTGACAATGCGCATTAAAAAACTAGTACCTCCAAGGTACTAGTAAACGTTTACCATGGGCTACCTCCAGACGCCTGTGGTGTGATTGCGCCGGTGCGCGGCATTCCCCTCCGGCACCGAGGGAAGGACCCGTGGTGTGCCACCGGCATGTCTGATTGCGTAATCGTGCATCAAACTGCGCCGGGGCAATTAGCCACGCCTCCCCCCCGGGATATCCAGCACGTGTGACCGGGGGCCTACTCTGAAACATGGTGGCGCTAGCGTTGCCAGCTCTGAGTTGGGAAACTCCTGGAGATTTGGAAGTAGAGCCTAGGGAGGGCAGGGTTTGGGGGAGGGGTCTCAGTGGGGTATAACGTAGGGTTGCCAGGAAGCACCTGGCAACCAGTGGGAGGGTTGTGGGGAGAGCAGCATCCCTGAAGAAAATTTTTAAAAGAAAACTAAGGCTGTATCTACTTACAGGAAATTCATACCATAGAGTGCCTGGAGAGCCCTAGAGCTACCTAGGAGTGAAAAGAGTAGCTCTAGGAATTACCGGAAATTCTAAGGTAAAACCAGAAGTTCTTACCATGGAGTAGTGAGTGATTCCTAGAACTACCCTTTTCACTTCTGGGTAGCTCTAGGAATCACCAGGAACTCTATGGTAAGAACTTTCTGTAAGTAGATGAGAACTTATTTTTCCTTTTTCATTTTTTCCCCACCGCCACTTCTAGCAGCAGCAGGTGACGCAACCTGGGGGCAGGGACTCCCCCACCTCCACTGGAGGCTTGGCAGCCCTAGTACAATGCCATAGAGTCCAACCTTCCAAAGCAGCCATTTAGTCCAGGGTAACCGATCTCTGTAGTCTGCAGATATGTTGTAATTCCAGGAGGTCTCCATGCCCCACCTGGAGGTTGGCAAGCCTAGGTGGTGGTAAAGAGAGCCCTTGATTCTTAAATCATTGCCCTATAGGATATTTTATCAGCCGCTGCTTATATCCCACCTTTTTTCCATCACAGAATGGAAGGTGGAATAGCTCCAAGGAGGTTTCCCACCCAGGAATTGACCAAAATCAGACCAGCTTAGCTTTAGCAAGGTTGTTGTATCAGGTACCTTCCAACAATCCACTAAGACCATAGCTTAGTAACCTGTCATCTGTTTCAGCCCTTAGTCTCATAATGTCGCCATTTAAATTAATAAATATATGTAACATTCTAGATTTCATTGAATATAAATAGCAAATATAGGTGCAAACCTATTCTGGAATTTGTCTTTTTTTGTACACCCACTGAATTCACCGGGTCTTTTAGCTGTACAAGGATTCCAGAACAGGATTTTAGTGTTGTAACAATACTAATCCGAAAGGTCCAGAATGGCTCTGAGCCATCCCAGTCAAACATATAAATAAGCTTAATACAGCAAAACATCCCCCTCCCCCGGGACTGAATTATCACTACTAGCAGCAAGTGAAGGGTGAAGGAGAAGACCGGGGAAACTACACCACCAGTTTTCCTTTCACCAAATGGGCCTGCTTCCCCAGCATTTCCAAGAAAAGCTTTTGGTATAATTTTTGCATGGTGCTGCTGCGGAGAGACTTGACCACCTTCCGGAGGCCTTGAATCGTCGTCTTGGGGAAGTGGTACGCTTTCAGGTGCTTCAGTCCATACATCAGGCCTTTGATGGAGTCTTGGTCTTGGTTTTTTATTCTCCACAAGTTGAGGAGTTTGGGGATCTGTTCTGCGGACTGGCACACTTTCATAATACGCTCAGTTTCCTCTCTACCAACTTTTTCCCCTGGTAAATTTTCCATTAGCATGTTGAGTTGCTCGGGAGTGACGTTGAGATGGCCGATCTGTTTCAAGATGCTGTTCTCACAAAGATCGATATCTGCAAAAGACAAAATAATAATAAAAGGATATTGGCATTTATCGTGGATAAAAACCTTCCAGGTTTGTGGTTGTTTTAGGGCCTTGCTTAAAACTGTTACTCTTTGCAAATCTACTTACATACTGAAAACAGTGAAGAGAACACTGGGAAACATAGGCCCCGGTCACACTGGCCGGATATCGCGGGGGGGGGGAGGTGTGGCTGTTTGCCCCACAGTGAAAAAACGCGCGACTGCGCGATCAGGCGTCCCCTCACGGTCCCGGCAAGGTCCCGTGGTTAGGGGGGAGGTGCCGATCACACGACGGGCCAAAGAAGTGGCACGGCACGGCAAACAGGGTTGTGTTGTTGTTGTTTTTAACCTAAAGTATGTGCATGTCCCGTTGGGTGGGGAACCTTTACCTTTACCTTTAAAACTGTTACTCTTTGCAAATCTACCTACATACTGAAAATAGTGAAGAGACACTGGGAAATATAATTTAGTTGTGTTGCTGCTGATAATGCCATTAGCGGTCTTTGCAGAACTACAAATCCCAGGGTCCTTTAGAAAGAGCCAGGGCAAATTCGTTTGTACTTCATCCCATGCCTATAGTCTTGCTAATACTGAGAAGCATCTTTGCCATCAGCTGCTTCCCCTCTGTTTAATATTCTTTCCCTTCTTTAGGCATGAGCTTTTGCTACTGAATTCCAATATATGGAGTAATGGTCACCAAACCTGTTTAGGATTCTCACAAGCTCAGCTACATTCGAATCCAGTAGCACCTTAGAGACCAACAAGATTTTTGGGAAGAAGCAAAAGAAGAAGAGGAGAAGGAGGAGGAGATTAGACTTATACCCTGCCCTTCAGTACCTGAAGGCAGCTCAGAGAAGTTTACAATCTCCTTTCCCTTCCCCTCCCCACAATAGACACCCTGTGAGGTAGGTGGGGCTGAGAGAGATCTTTCAAGATCCGCTCAGAACAGCTCTGAATGAACTTGTAACTGACCCAAGGTCACACCAGCAGCTGCATGTGAGGAGTGGGGAATCAAACCTGGTTCTCCTAGATTAGAGTCCGTGCTCCTAACCACTATACCAAACTGGCTCAGAAGAGATTGGATTTATACCCCGCCCTTCACTCGGAGTCTCAGAGCAGCTTACAATCAACTTTCCCTTCCTCTCCCCACAACAGACACTCTGTGAGGTAGGTGGGGCTGAGAGAGCTCTTTCGAGGACTGCTCACGAGGGAACAGCTCTGAGAGAACTGTGACTGACCCCAGGTCACACCAGCAGCTACATGTGAAGGGGTGGGGAATGAAACCCAGTTCTCCCAGATTAGAGTCCGTGTTCCTAACCACGGCACCAAACTGTCTCTTGAGCGCGGGGCGGAAGTCGGGCCTTGAAAGCGGGGGGAAATCTGCCCCCCGGGGGGATTTGGGAACCCTAGTCTAACTGTTTTACCTCAGAGCAACATGGCTGCCCCCGAAACTACCAGAACCTCTGCTAGTCTCTGCGCATAACTGCAACAGGGAATCAGCGGCAGGGAACACGTGGGTATGGAGTCACTATGTACAAATCCATGATTTTAGAGCCATAGTGGCAGACACAGCCAGCAATCAACAGCAGATCTACTCAGAGGTGAGTTTTTTCAGTGGGGCTTGCTCTCAGGAAAGTGTCCTTCAGATTTCAGCCACAGCCCGTTACTCTGACTGGGTAATGATCTGGGCATTGTTTTCAATTAATTTTTTTGGTGTGAGTATTTGTGTGTCATGGATAACTTCTGGCGACTCCTAGTGGGGCTTGGGTGTCCAAGAGAGGTGGCTTGCTATCACTTTCCCCCTGCGTCCCTGCCCTCATATTCCTTCGAGGTCTCCCATCCAAGTACTTGCCAAGGTCAGCCCTGCTTAGCTTCCAAGATCTGACGAGATCGGGCTTGCCTGGGCTCTCCATGATCGGAGCATCGTTGACATTATCGCCAGAGGCAGACATCTCGTGTCAAGTGGCTCTGAGTCTGAGTAGCGTTGCTTTAAAGGTAAAGGTAAAGGTTCCCTTGCTCGAAAGCCAGTCGAATCCGACTCTAGGGTTGCAGTGCTCATCTCCATTTCAAAGCCGAAGAGCCAGCGCTGTCCGAAGACGTTTCCGTGGTCATGTGGCCGGCATGACTAAACACCAAGGCGCACGGAACGCTGTTCCCTTCCCACCGAAGTGGTACCTATTTATCTACTTGCAATTTCTTGCTTTCGAACTGCTAGGTTGGCAGGAGCTGGAACTAGAGACGGGAGCTCACTTATGTTCTTATGCGGCACACTCGGGTCTCGAACTGCTGATCTACTGACCTTCCACATCCTGCAGTTCAGCCTCTTAACCACTTGAGCCACCGCAGCTCCTATTGCTTTACTGTTCCGCTATGTGAAGACGTTACCTTGTATAATTTTCATGACCATACTGTGGTCTTTGTTCTGCTGCTTCCATAACTTCAGGAGCTGGAAAGTCTGTTCCTGTGGGCTGTTCCGTTGTTTAATCTTTTCTAAGGCTTCCGCAGAGATGTTCTTCCCCGGCAGGCTGTCCGTCAATGAGCTGAGCCAGTTGGGGGTGGGTTTGGTAGGAACCGCAAATCTGAAGAATGCCTCCTCACATAAGGTGACATCTGAAAAACAGTCGTAAGTATACCTTCGCTTTTAAAACCTGATTGGACTTGACCGATTACCCCAAAATTGCACAAGTGCTTCATTTAAAACGTGTCTAAAATTACTCTCTACCAGGGGTCATTTCGTAGAAAAAGAGGTGCAGGAGCTCATTAGGATAACTCTTGCTATTGGGGGGGGGGGTTCCCACACAGATCTGCCCTCACAGAGGAGGGAGATTTTTTGGATTGCTATCTATGGGTGGGCTCTGCAACTTACTTGGCTGCTTCTTGATCCTCGTGGGCTGCTGGGAGCAGGGGGCAGGGCTTGTTGCATGTGCCCGCCCCTTGGGCTTTTTACTGCCGGAGCTCCGCTCCTGTGCGCTCCTGCAGGAAATGACCCCTGCTCTCTACTACCATAAGGTATGCTGTTCTTAACTCCCACATTAGTTCTTTACACTGCAAAACACTACCCTATGTTTACTCTGCCTGCAAGATACAAAATCATTGACCCTCACCCTCTTTCTAGAGATCGTTTTATTCCCCCCCCCCAACGGGCCTTATTCCTAGTATATATATCATTCACTAGCTTTGGTGGTGGTGGAAAGTGATGGCGACCCTGTAGGGTTATCAAGGCAAGAGATATTCAGAGGTGGTTTGTGATTGCCTGCCTCTGCATAACAACCTTGGTCTTCCTTGGAGGTTTCCCATCCGAGTATGAATAAGGGCCAACCCTGCTTAGTGTCCAAGACCTGATGAGATAAGTCTAGACTGTCCCACCCAGGTCAGGTTTCACTAGCGGTACCCCTTTTAAATCTCATACGCACCAATTCCACATTGCTGATCTGATTTGTTGTCTTTTCCTCCCTGCCACACATTGTCCTGTTTCGTATCTCCGCTCCGTGCATCAGTTTTTCGGCAGGGTGCTAAAGACGAAAATACATCAGAGAAATAACCTTCCGGACACCTCCCGCAAACAGTGTCGGTCCAAGGGGTACCTTAAGAAAAAAGAAAGCAAAGTTAAAAAACACTTGGCAAGGACTTCATATATAGCACTTCAAAGATTTCCTGCCCTGTAAAGACATCAAAGACTGAACTAAAAAGCATTCAGATTTCCACTCTTCAGACAATTGTTTGATTTGTGTATCTTCAAAAGGGTATGTTTTAAAGAGGAATAGTTGTGCCCCAGTGAAACTTGATTGATTAATGCTTTAAAATTCACCTTTCTCAAATTTTGTAAGAGAGAAACCACACTTCTAGAAATACCATGTGGTACAGTCATCGACTTAGAACACAACTGGGAGATCACATTATCTGAATGCTCAGGTCCTCACTGGAGACAGAAAAATTAGCACACTAGGGAAAGGACTTTTGCTTATCTTTATGTGCTGGCAGTTTTTAACAATGGGAGCATTCAAATGTTTAATTTGGGTAAGTGAAAGATTGACATCAACCTAACATGGTATCTCATTCATACAATGAACATACACCAAACCTGTCAAAATAGGGGGAATGATGTAGACTTCTGTAGTGATTACCTGGCAAAAATCAAAGGGTTGGATCCAGCCAGTTTTTCATTCAGTTTTGCCTCCTTCCCCACCTTACCACAGCCCCTCCTCCACTTATACCATATACCACTGGTCCATCAAGGTCAATATTGCCTACTGAGACTGGCAGCAGCTCTCCAGGGTCAGGCAGAGGTCTTTCACATTACCTACTGCCTAATCCTTTTAACTAGAGATGCTGGGGACTCAACCTGGGACCTTCTGCGTGCCAAGCAGATGTTCTATCATTAAACCATGGTAGCCCCTTCCAATGGCTTTCTTCATGGCTTCTGTCTACAGAGGTCCCATAAGCCTCAGCATAGGTTTTGCTGGTTAAGGGGGACCGCTCCTCCATTTTTCACTAGTGAAAAAGCTAGCTGGATACAACCCAGATTCTAACTGAATTGATTCTAGGGCTCCTGCTAAGGCAGGAGACCTCCAGCCCTGAACGCCGTGGTCCCCCATCACCGATTGCCAGGGTGTTGGGGAGAAATGGTGAATCGGCATCACAACAAGGCATGGTGCATGGCATCAAATCATTTGTTCCTGCCCCCTGCAATCTCACTCCAGGTACCAGATCTGATTTGGCAACCCTGATGGATCCAGAGTTCATCACAATACATTGCCTCTAGAAGGCCCAAGATGAACTGTACTCAGGCAATTACAAAAGAGTGACGGGCTGCCAGAGTATAGGCCAGGGTTCCTCAAGGACAGACTTCTTCAGTATTAATCTACCCACATGCTTATGTCAACTGTTCCTCAGCTGCAGCAGCAAGATTTTGAAATCTGCACCCCTAGGCTGTACATCTGGTGTGCCTGCCCTTCAGAGTTTCAAGACATCAGTAAAAAACTCTTTTTCATCAGGCATTTGGGCCACACAGATTTTATTAGATCTTTAAGGATTTTGATGTCTTTTTGGTAACTGTTAGTTACTGTTTTGGATGATACAATCGAGGGCACAGCAATCTAAGAATAACAAATCATGCAATTGCTGCAATAAGTTCACAAATTACAGAACAATGACAATCAAATGTAGGCTTATTCTGATGTATTATTTCAAATTTCTTCTTTTATTCCATAGGTCAAATGACGAACATCTCGAGTTTCCAGAGTTCGTTTCGAGTTCTTTATCAAAATTCTGTGTTGTGGTGGGTTGGATCCTGCTAATCATAGCAAGGGGGGGGGATTTTCACAAATTCTCCTCTCCTGCTGCTGACTTTTGAATCCCCACTCGTGCTGTTTCTGAGGCGTCTCCTGTACCCCACAGGCAGCGTTTTGGACGGGTGCACTGGGGATGGGGGAGGCAGACGAGTTGCTCTCTGCAGACAGAAATGCCTTCCGTTTGCAGAAATTTTCAGTTGGATCCGAACAAGTCGTTTTATTGTTATATTCTTGTTGTTAAAGTGGTGTTATCGTAAGCTGCCTCGACAACTCTGCTGGAAGGTGGGATATATGTCTCTCTCTGTGTGTGTGTGTGTGTGTGTATATATATATATGTGTGTGTGTGTGTGTGTGAATGAAGAATTAATAAATAGCAGCTTCTCTCCCTGTGGATGTAGGGCTACCAACTGCATGTTGGGCTATTCCTCGAGATTTGGGGGCGGAGCCTGAGGAAGGTGGGGTTTGAAGAGGGGTGAGGCCTCAGCAGGGTATAATGCCATAAAGTCCACCTTCCAAAGCAACCATTTTCTCCAGGGGAACTGATCTCCATTGTCTAGAGATCAGTTGTAATTCCAGGAGATCTCCAAGCCCCACCTGGAGGCTGGAAACCCTAAAGTACATTCAGAAACAAGTTTTTCAGCGGCGGGGAGAATTCTTCCCAAGCCTTTCCCCCACTGTGCAGTCAAGTCATCGAAATCTACCTTTTAGATAACTCAGCAAAATTCTTCCTTTTCCTTAAATCAGAGCTGCCAAGTCCACATCTCAGGGGCTGTATGTGGCATGTCAAGTAAGAGTGATGGCCTGCTGGGTGCTTATTAATCCACCCCTGTTGCTGCCACCCATCTGGAGTCACAAAATGAAGGGTTTACCAGGCACCTGGTGACCTGTATTTCATGCCACAGACAGCCTGGAAGCGACGAAGGTGGCAATCCTGCTTTAAATCTATTCAGACCAGCTCCCCTTTCTACACATAAAAAGTAGTAGAAAGTCAAATACTTCTTACTCCCCCCCCCAATCAATTTGGCATTATGCGCATTTGTGCATTTCCACGGTAAATAACACCTTGCTTGCATTTAATTGATATAGATTTAATGCAGCAATGAAAGTATGAATCTATGGATAAATTACGCTACGGGATACACTAAATGAGTTTCCAAAGATTTTAGAGGTAAGCAATTGCTTATTAATGTAACCAAGTGAAGATTACATATCGATCCCTGTCCTTTCGGCCGGCCGGATTTTTGCATAATCCCCCCCCAAATACAATGCTAATATTTAATAAGACGCAACTAATGTAGAATTAATATTTTCTTAAACTGATATTATAAAGCGATTGCATTGGCAGATACTTCATACAGATAATTTCACAGGGTAGCTGTGTTGGCAGGGCCGGCTCGCGAACTAGGCGAACTAGGTGCTCGCCTAGAGTGCGCTGGCCCTTAGGGGCGCCAAACTGGCACCCGCCCCCCTGCTGTTCTGGTTCAGCCGCAAACACTACTGAGTTTTAAACATGTTATGATCTTTCTGATGATTCAAACGCCAATTCCACCAAAGAACTTAGCCCTCTGGGCACAGAAGGGTCACTCAGCTAAGTCAAAGAAGAATCTAAGTAGGGGGGCTATTACATAAGGACACTCAAGTTGCAACTGACTTATGGCAACCCCAGCAAGGAACTGTCAAGGCAAGTGAGAAGCAGAGGTTGTTTGCGACTGCGAGTGCCTTTCTTTGCAGAGTCTTCCTTGGTGGAAGCCAGATGTGCAAAGCAGGCAAAGTTACAAAAGCAAAAGTGAGTGTTAAGAGCATGGGTGCCAGGGGAATGGGAGGTCCGGGGTACAGATCCAATTAACGGGTCCGAGCCATGGTGGGCACACGGGGGGGGGGGGGGCCAGGGGGGGCCCCACCCCGTGGGCGCACGGGGGGGGGGGGCGCCAGGAGGGATCCTCGCCTAGGGTGCAAAATAAGCTGGGGCCGGCCCTGTGTGTTGGTCTCCAGTAGAGCAGCTCAATTCGAGTCCCGTAGCACCTTAGAGGCCAACAAGATTTCTGGGGTACGAGCTTTCAAAAGTTGAAGCTCCCTTCATCAGATATACAGATATGCTTTCAGAAACGTGAGCAAGATGATCGTCTCAGAGGGCAGATGTGTTGGTTTTCAGTAGAACAGTTAAATTCCACGTCCAGCAGGCCCTTAGAGACCAAGAAGAGTTTCAGGCTATAAGCTTTCAAGAGTCAAAGCTCCGTTTGTCAGACATGATGCCTGAATCATTTATCCCCTGAATCTTAGCCTTTCCCCCCTCCCAATTGTTAATTTTTGGATTTCTCCTCACTTTATCTAATAATGAACGGGCAGGCTCCCAAACAGAATAACAAAAACAGCACCGTTAGGTCACCTATGCACAAAGTAAGGTGCTGGGATTGCCAGCTGCCCAGTGCTGGCAGAGGAACCCCTGCTGGGACTCTCCACACAGCTCCATGTGCTGCAAGAAGAAGAGGAGGAGGAGGAGGAG